TTATCGTCGTGTATGTGTGGTCGTTTGTACAGGTTATCGTCGTGTATGTGTGGTCGTTTGTACAGGTTATCGTCGTGTATGTGTGGTCGTTTGTACAGGTTATCGTCGTGTATTTGTGGCCGTTTGTACAGGTTATCGTCGTGTGTTTGTGGTCGTTTGTACAGGTTATCGTCGTGTATGTGTGGCCGTTTGTACAGGTTATCGTCGTGCATTTGTGGCCGTTTGTATATGTTATTGTCCTAGCCAGATGGTCGTTTGTACAGGTGCGACTGTATTTGTTTGGGTTTTTTAATGTATGTGCGGGATATATACCTATCCCCCCTCCCTTACTATTTTAGAAGGCAAGCTTTTGGCCTTACCTTATTGGGCAAACCCAGGCTGAAAGGGATACATCATACAATATCCCAGCAGAAACAGCGAGACACTCGATAAAAATTTGTATCCATTCGAAATTCGAACTCAGGGCTCCTGCGTGCGATAGCGCAACGCTCAACTGTTATACCAAAGACGCCGGTTATATTACTTTGTTTTATGTTTTTGCTAGAGTTTTACGGCACTTGCAACACAATAAAATCGTATAAGTGCCGAAGGTTAGAGGTGTTACAAGAGAGCAACAAACACAAAAAAAGAAGGAGTGATAGGACGATAGATGGTTGATAGGAAAAAAGGAGCAGCCCACACCAGAGCACCCGCAAACCACCCACTATTACTTTGTGTCACTGTTGATGTTTGATAGTACCTGTACATTGTTCTTTGATTGTGAGAGCAAACCAACACTTTAACAACAACCACCAAAAAATGACGTAAATAAATATACGTATGGGAGAAAAAAGACAGGCCCCTACCTGGCGTTATTTATTTCTTCTTTGAACGTGGCTCACACGTATAATAATTGTGGTCAATTAAATGTTGATACCCACCACCAACTCCAACACTATCACCAAAACAGCAACAACAACCACAACCACCCCACAACAGTAATGCCAAACAGGCAACAGCGCTGCCGGGCCTAATCCGCCATATTGCATGTGGAAGTGCGTGCTCCCAGATAAAATTGATCCCAAAAAACCGTCCGATATCCCACGCGCGGACGAAGAAAATATACAGGGCAAATTTTTTACAACGGAAGGCTCAAATTAAGTCCCGCCGCGACCAGCCACTACTGGCAAAAATCAGGACCTGACACTTCTCTGGGCTTTGGGCCTACAAAAATAGATAAGACAATACATCGGACCCAATATGTCCATTGTGCAGCGAGGAGATCCAAGATTTGGAGCACTGGCTGCAGAGATGGCCTGCCAAGGAGGTCCGGCGGTGGCATCTCTTTGGGGAGGATTCAGGGAGGTTGGACTACCTCACCAGCAGCTACCCAAGAGAGGCGGTGGCCCTAGCGAAGAGCACTCTCTTCGGGGTTCGGATTTGCAACCACACACACACACACTCACACACACACACACACAC